TGAGCAAGATAGAACAAAAAACCTTCAAACAAACTTACTAGCATTAGCCTACATGGATGATATTATATGAATAGCCCAATCCAAACAAGAACTACAATTAATTCTTAAAACTGCAAGTTTATTCTTCTCATTTACAAACATAAAAGTAAATCCAAACAAATTCATGCTTGCAGTAATCAATTTAACAATTAGCAATCCAAATATAATATACAACAATACAACAATTAAGGCAATACAGCCAAAAGAGGCCTTTTGCTTTCTAGGATGCTGATATACTATCTACAAGAATCACAAACCAATCTACAAAATCATCAAAGAAAAAGCTGATAATGCTATAAGAAGAATTAAAAATGCAAATATAACAGAAAAACAGACTATATACATTATTAATACTGTTATATTAACTCGAATAGCATACAGAGTCCAAAACACTTACCTACCTATACAATTATGCAAAACAATAACAAACTATTATCAATAATAGTAAAATACAAAGCTGGCCTTGCACAGACAGTACTCAACTCAACACTATTCTATCATTAAATTTATAGATTATGAACTGTCACAAATATTCAAACATAGCAACACATCTCTCTTATACACTAACAGCTCAATTACACTAAACTTTCAAACCCAATACTAAAAATACACATCCAACAAATTCAAAATGCTACCTATACCAACAAGTTAATACTAACCAATAACACATATATATTGCCACAAAAAGAATCAAAAACATTATTAACAAAAATACTATACAGCATACAAGAAACAGGAATAACTTTTCTAAATAGCAATAACAATTGGCCAAAAACAGCTGAATATAAAAACATACCAATAGATATAGTACTTTAGCAAATTAACAAACCACATCTAGTAAAGGCCAAACTTAACAAAATTGGATTGCACTCTATCGAACAATGCACTAATTACAAGAATACAGATGTACTAACATGGATACAAATACCACATACTATACTACATATACTTAGAGAAAGAGAACCTAAATAGTACAAACTTATAACAGAAAACATAAAACAAAATCTTAGCAATAACAACTACAATCTTGTTACTCCAAACCCATTTATTTTTAATTCATATCAAACATTTGAAAAGGCATCTTGGGCAATAAAAAAGAATACATCAGGTAGATATATAGAAAAATATCATCTATAAAAGACAACTAAGCAACAATTAACCACTAGACTATAGACAATACATCCACCAAGCTGAAGCCATGCAAAGGATGTTAATGGAATAATACCAATCTTAAAAAAGAAAAATGCACAAGCAAAATTAAATTATATGACCTTCAAAAAATATTGGTAGATAGCAAAAAATTCATAAGAGCAAATATATGAGATTTAGAACATACAGCATATAACTCAAATAGTAAAACACAAAACCAAAACAACATTAAGAAAAAATATAAACTAATGGAAGAAGCAATAGAAAATCTAGAAACAGCCAGTTACCTACAAGAGCTACAACAAAAATGCAAACAATACAAAGATATTACCTTTTAACTAATTTAAAAACAACAAGTAATTAATGATATACAACAAGATATAATAATATATAACATTCCAAATTTAAAACTGCAGTTCAAAACAGTATTATCTGAATGGCTCACAACAACCAAAACACTTATTATGACCTTAATACACAGCTCAATAATAATATCAAATAAGACAAGAATTCAAATTATTACAGACAAAAATTATTTTGCAAAACTAGTCTAAACAGTTTATACAACTACAACAAATGATATATACCAAATATATTACTTAAACAATTGGCCAAGTTGGCTGACATGAAAAGCACTAATCACAAAAAAAGACTTAAACTATACATTTTTATTAAATAACTCTATAATATATACTATAAACATATACTCTTCTACTGTAAAAATAGAAATAAGTCACAAAAACATACATCATAATATTCTATATCCTATATGACAAAATACATCTATCGAACATAATATTAGAAAATTCATCTGTTATATACAGAATGCACAACACATAGCATACTAGCAATCACAAGCATGAGCTCAAATATAGGATACTATTCACAAAGATGTAGATTGAAAATCTTTCTACAACTAAATAAATTACCAATACTCACCAACACAGAGACAAACAAATCCAAAATACTTACAACTAAAAGCATTTAAACTAAAATTACTACTAAAAGAGCTGCCAACATTAGAAGTATTACACAAATGTAATAATATAAAGTACTCTAATCCAATATGTGCAAGATGTTAAGCAACAACAAAAAGCAACTACCATCTAATAACCTGTAACAGCAATAGTACAAGCTTACAGAAAATAATAACAGAAACAGTCAACAAAACTCTAACCAAATATGAAGTTGCAGATATCAAAGCTAGACATCAAGTCATAACTTTAATAACCCAAAGTATCTGTCTAATCGATTTACAAATACAACTAACAAGAGTTATACTAGAAATGCTTTCCCAAAACAGTACAAAACTGATTAACAAAATAACAAAAGTATCAAAACCAAAATACAGTTTATTAATCTACTAAATGCATAAAATCATACAAAAAATATATAAAAAAGTGTGAATAACATGATGTAAAAAACAATATAACAACTTATTAAAATCAAATATCTTACAAATAAAAGATAATAATGTAAATATACTAACAGTCTCAACAGCAATAGCAAATACTCATAATATAGGATTAACTGAATTGAAAATAAAAATTAAACTTGAAATATAGAGAAAAATGTTCATAAATCACAATACTTCACCAAATTATATCAATACAATCATAGACTAAGTGAAAACTTTGACCCTCTTTAGCAAAGTCTGGGTTGTAGGTAAAGTAGTCTAAGTCTTAGCTTTCAGAGATTAAATAATATGTACTATAAATTTTTTTTTTTTTTTTTTTTGTTAAGGTGAGGTCATGCCCTTTAGTCTTTATTAGTATATTTGTTATAGCTAGTACAAATCTTATTATACATCGTCTATCACTATATATCTATTCAGACATAGGACTTAGACATATTTATCTGCAACCTAAACCTACCAGAGTTTTGTATTGTGTCCCACTCACACCTAACCTGGATTTTTGTTTTACTACTAATTATATTAGGTAACCTACATATTCCTTTCATGTCTCACAATTTATTTTTACAACTCCCAAATTGGTTCACTGGGTCGTTCGCTCCTTTTGAGCTACCATCTTTGGTTTGCCCGAAGGGTGCCTCTCTAGCACGTATCTCAAGCCAGGTTCCTGCTGCTGCTGCTAACTTCCCAATTCAGGTACTAGTAGCATGTATCTCAAGCCAGGTTCCTGCTGCCACTGCTAGTTTGCAACCCTTCTTGGTCTTAGCATTATTTCCAACGGATTGTGCATCTAATCTGCCCCTTAAGTACTCCCTTTTATGGTATAGATGGAACTCTATTTCGGAGATGAGTACACATCCTCTTCCAGCTATTGATTAACGTTTCTACTACCGTCACATCATGCTGCAGGTTTTCCTTTGTTCTGTCTCCAACCGCGAGCAATCCCCCTGCCTTTTTAAGAACATCCTAGCCTGAATCTACATTTAGACTAAGGTGTCCACATCATGTTCGAGTAGGTTTCCACTTCCAATTTAGGTATCTTAACCATAATTGGTACAGCATTTATGTTGGTATGTTCCACTTGTTTCGCCATAGGCTTCCATATAGGTGTGACCAGAGCTCCGGTTTGGAACCTTTAGACGTACAGGACAGGCTACAACTTCTCTATGCAAATGGTTACCTTCTATTCTCAGTCGTTCCACAGCACCAGAGGTGCTTCTAATCTTGATAAGGCTAATTCTTTGTCACAAACCTTCTATGCATGCACTGCTTCTCTCACCACTCCAGTTCGTATTACCTTGATATTACCCTCCCAATCAAGTACTCCACAAGTTGGATGCAGAGATGTTGGTACTGCCCCATCTCCAGAGGACTTATATGCGCAACCCTTTTGCATAATAGAACTTTCTGTGATGCCACTGTCATGCATAGTGCCTACACTTTGTAAAGTCTGTTTCCTTCTGAGAATTCCTTTTTCTGTCATATACTGCACTTGGACTTGACCACAGGGCTTCATGTTCAATTACAGGCTCCTTTCGGTTACAGATGCTAAAATCTTTTTGATTTTGCCTCCAGCTGGACTTGAACCATTGACCTTGACTGTGGAGGTATAGGAGCTTAACTATTAAGCTATGGGACCTACACCCTAATATGTACTATAAATAAAAATGTATTTAGATATTAATAATTAATAAAGAAATCAAGGCAAAACCTCACTTTTAAAAAATAAAATAATAATAATAATAATAATTAATGTATATTGATTAAGTGCTATATATTGATATAAATCTACTTAAAAATTTTAGTGATAAAAATTAATAAATGAATTAATAGTTTTGTCAATATAATTTGTCTTAACTTTTTTTTTAAAAATATAATTATGCTGTACAGTGCGGACCATAGTACCTTCTATATCAAAGTACTTCCTCTTAAAAAAATTCGCAGTAGAATATAAAGTATCTGGGTATTTTAAAAGGAAAATAGATTTGTGGTTTGTAAAATACCTAAGTATTTGTTATGTAAAATATCCAGTATATCAACTATGCAAAATATTTAAATATTATATATTCTTGACTTTTACTAAAACACACTTATATTATCTCAAAAACTGGCTAATTAATCAGTTCAAGAAGTCCTAAGTAAAAATGCTCTATGAATCTAAAAATCCTTTTCAAACACAAACTCTAACTCTAAATCCTAACATTATCATGTTGAAAATTTTTATATTTGAAACTTAGAAAAATCTTAAAAGCATAATTAAACATATAATACTATGTAGTAGATTAAAAGCAAAGTTTTTTATTTAACAACTTTTTATATCAAGCCATATAATATGTGTATACAAATAAGCTTTATACTTAAATTGAACCAATTAAATATTGAAAAATATAATATAACATCATTCTAAATTACTATCCTCTTCATTATTTTCATCTAAATTAATATTTTTAAGATTATTTTTGAGAATATTGATTTTTTGAGATTCTACTAAACAGTTAACAGATTCATTCTTATTAGCATAATATTTGTTTTTCTCATCTTCTGAAGCTTTATATATACCAGTATTATCTATTTCTATATCTTCATCCAATTCTGTAACTTCATCCAATTTAGTAGCTTCATTTAATGCTATAATTTCATTTTTCTCAGATCCTAATCAATCTGCTTTTTCTAATCATTTTACTTTATTATAATCAAATAAAAAATTATCTTCAGAGCCATCTGTTTTAATAGAAATACCACAACATTGAATGATCTTTTAATAAGTTCTGGATCTATATTTTTCCAAGCTTCTTTTACCTATTCTGCAACTAATGCATATGAAGGTTATTTGAGTTTTTCAGCTTTAGTAAGCTCATGTACCATATTTGCCATCCAATCTGTATACAATGCTTGATATTACAATAAATAATAAATTACTATTACCAGTATTAACTACTATTACCAATATAAGAGTGTGGCGACCTAGTGAAGTAGATAGGTTGTCAACCCTTAAGTGGCAGGTCTAAGGTTCAATTCCCACGGACGACGAATTTTGGAAATTATACCTGTGTTATGGTAACTGTCTCTACTGATCGGTTGGGTTTTGGGCATCTGTAATCTTAGGTACACCAAGTCGGGCCCC